AAAGAAACATCTCCAAAGATATTGGGCCTGTTTCAGTAAGGAGGTTCAACCAACTCGGAATTTAAACTTAAACTCTTGAGTTGATTTCCCGAGAGATTAAAAACTCTGAGTTGTCGGTTTCAAAATAGCTGATCTGAGTTAGGTCAATCAACTTTGAATAGACCAACTCAGAGTTAATCGCACACACCGCCACTATAAAAAGGCATTATCAATGGAGCGCGGATATTGCGAGTGACTAAGGCAACATCTTAAAAAGAGATCACCATTTCTTTCTCCAGATGAACTGGATGTGCTCATGCAAAGTTATAGCAAATATGAGCATATATTTATTAAAGCAACACCAGTGCATTAGTGAAACAGAGACAGTTAGCTTGGGTTAAAACAGCTGCTCAAGTTAACGCGTAATTTTACATTTAAAGTATTTAAATATTTAAGTATAAGTAATGTTATGTGTGATGTTTCTTACATTTTTACTCTCGTTCCTATTTTATTCACGTTATCAGTTTTAATAGGTTTAAAAGTGCACTTGTGTGTCTGCCGTTTTTATTGATCAGTGATAGAGGTTGATATGACATTTAGAATGTAAGCAGAATTAAACAATAGTTTTTAGAAAGAATAATAATCCCATTAATCTAGTAATAGCACATGTCCCTGTCGAAGGTCAGTGAATTTAAGCTAATTATTTATTTAAAAAGGACAAGCCATTCTCGTACGTGACTCTTTGTGTGACTGAAATGTAGGCAAAAGCTATGTTTCCACCCAAATTATTAATAAAATTTATGTGCAACCCTGGAATAACGCATAAAAGATGCGAATAAAGCAGCGTTTCTATCCAACGAGTCAAAGAGAACAACATCGTCACTTCCTGATTAAAGGGCGCCAAATATCAACAGTAAAAACAGAATTTACTGCTGTAGAAGAAGCTGTGTCAATCTTTTCTTTATTTAATAAATGTACTTGCGCCTCAGAGGACAAGGCAGATGTGTTACAGTGTGCTCAGCCTGCTGGCTTGTCCATTCACACACATTTTCATCATCATACTGTATGATCTCTTAACAAAGTTAACTTGTTTTAATGCACATACTGTAATTTGTTCAGTAAAAGTGTTCATCATAGTTTAGGCACGTCTTTTCTATAGAATAAAAGTTTATCCTACTCAGTTATGCATATTTTTTATGCATATTTTCAAAAGTTATGTGCGTCATGACGTTTCCATCAATTGTTTTTATATGCATATCCAAAATGAGCATTAAAATAGCTGGGTGGAAATGTAAGGCTAATACCACTTCGTCTTTAAAAAAGGGGAGGAGACCGACAGAAACTCTGAGTTTAGAGAATAAAACCTGCTCCTGACCAGTTTAGGTTCACATAATAAGTTATTACGGTAACTGACTCTGAGTTAAAGTTACCTCTCTTCCAGAAACAGGCTTGACTTACCCTTCTTTCTCCAGTTTAACAAACCTGCCATTTTGAAAATGAAAACCCAGAGTTTCTCTCATTTCAGGGTTAAATTACTCTAAAGTTTTCACTTTACCTCTTTTCTGAAACGGGTTTATTGTCATGCACACACAACAGATTAGTTCACAACTTATTCAATCTACTTTGACTGATAATGAATGGGTATAATGCGAAATATTATATTACAGTGTGCACAAAAACAGATGCATTGGATTTACGGTAAGGGGAAACAGTTTATATGGGCTTCTTCAAACAAACATATTCAATTTAGTAATGTTCTTAAACTTAATTTGTTTAAATTGAGCTCATATAAATAGTTTGCAAACACCTTAAGAAACTATAGTAAATCTAATTAATTTTTTTTTGCAATGTGTTGCGTGAGATTGATAATGCTTCTATCTGTCAGATATCATCTGATAATGAAACGCCTTCGGATTGTTGTGGTGAATCAATGGAAATCAATCTTTCGCTTTCAGTCATTTGATCAAGAGAAACTCAACTCGTTTTCCTGATGCTGTGGTTAGTTTGTTTATGTACGCGGCAGGGTGACCTAGTGTGAATCGATCTATCATCGTGCGTTTTGTGGGCAGAATCAGTCTCTTTCTCTCTTCCTGCTGCTGGCATTAATGGTGAATGAGCGACAGTGAAACAAAAGCAGCACGAAATCTGGGCTTCCCCTGCCATCACTGCCAACACACATGAAATTACAGCACAGAAGCCCATATGACTCCCCAAACCAAAATAGCCCACGCTTCGGAGCAAAAATCGGCAGCATTACAACATTTCGCACTGATATAAACAGCACAATGGTGTATTGTGAACAGAGCTGAGATCAACTCTGAGGGGAAAATGACCTCTGATGTGCCAGCATGCAGAGACGCAGATGGCTCAAGAAGACGCATGCGGTTAAAAACTCAACGCTTTAGATTTCCACGGCATGTCAAATTACATTTCATTCAGCAGGATGCACACAGACAGAGGGATTAAAAGAGCATCATATATTGAGTGCCAGGAGCAACCGGCTGAAACGTCCCTGAGTGAAACTGAACTGAATCATGCAGAGCAGGCAACAAAAATTCTAAAGAAACAAAATAAACATTGAACCACCGCAATGAACCAACACACTGATTTCATTTTTAAATGTGGATTCATTGAAGTGAAATCTGTCATCTTCATTGTGCTGTGAGTGAAACGAACCACTAAACAGCTTAATGATTCAAGTCAACTGTATAATGTAACACTTCATACAACTTTGATTCACTTACTCAAAAGGCTTTAAAGTCTCTTTAGAGCTCGACATATTTCAATGCTTAGTCTTTTAGGATTGAGATTAAACACCACAATCTACACTTACATTAATCTAAGAGTCAAAGACAATGCATTTGTGTTCAATTAAATGCATTAAAGTGAATGTATTCACATTAAAGCATATTGAATGCAAGTGTCTACTTTAGGTTTCTTTTCTAAAAGATGTCAAAAAGCTAAATAAAGTTGCATTGTCATCTATTTAACTATCTAAAACAGCAATGATCATTCTAAATGTAAGCATATTACTGTTAAATAGGTAAAACACTCAATGGTGTGAAGGATAACTGGCAAAAATATCAAGGTTTAACATGATAATTAACTAGTATTTGAGGACTGCACTGTGATCCATGCATCTGCATTAAATTAAACATATTAAATAGACATTGAAGCATATTAAATGCAAGTGTCTACTTCAGGGTTTTAACGCATTTCTGAAAGTAAGATGTCAAAAAGCAAAGTATAGTTGCACTGTCATCTATTTAAATATCTTAAACAACCAATGATCATTTTAAATGTAAGCGTATTACTGTTAAATTGGTAAAACCCAATGGTTTTAAGGATAAACAGCAAAAATATAAAGGTTTAAAATGATAATTATAGTTAGTATTTGAGGGCTACACTGTTATCTATGCATCTGCATTAAATTAAACGTATTAAATTGAATTTATAGATAGCATTTTGAATGTTAGTGTCTACTTTAGGTTTATAAAATCTTTCTGAAAGATGTCAAAAAGCTAAATAAAGTTGCACTGTCATCTATTTAAATATTTAAACAACCAATGATCATTCTAAATGTAAGCTTATTGCTGTAAAATTGTTAAAAACCCAATAGTGTGAAGGATAAATGATTAAAATATAATGGTTTAACATGAAAATTAATTAGTATTTGAGGGCTGCACTGTGATCTATACATCTGCATTAAATTAAACGTATTAAATAGACATTAATGCATATAAAATGCAAGTGTCTACCTCAGGTTTTTTAAAACTTTTTTGAAAGTAAGATGTCAACAAGCAAAATAAAGTTGCACTGTTATCTATTTAAATATCTAAACTAAACAAGGATCATACTAAATGTAAGCGCATCGCTGTAAAATTGAAAAAAAAAAACAATGGTTTGAAGGATTAAATGCAAAAATAACTGCACTGTGATCCATGCATCAGCATTACATTAAATATATTACAATGAATTTATAGACATTAAAGCATATTGAATGCAAGTGTCTACTTTAGATTTTTAGTACTTTTCTTAAAGATGTCAAAAAGCAAAGTTGGATTGTCATCTATTTAAATATCAGAAACAACACACGATCTAAATCAATCTAAATTTAGACATAATGCTGTTAAATAGGTAAAACACCCAATGGTTTGAAGGATAAATGGCAATAATATAAAGGTTTAACATGATAATTAACTAGTATTTGAGGGCTGCACTGTGATTCATGCATCTGCATTAAATTAATCATTTTACATTGAAAGCAAGTGTCAACTTTAGGTTTTTAAAACCTTTCTGAAAGATGTCAAAAAGCAAAATAATTGCACTGTTATCTATTTAAATATCTAAAACAACCGAGAATCATGCTAAATGTATATTGCTGTAAAATTGGTAGCAACTCAATGGTTTCAAGGATTAAATGCATAAATATAAAGGTTTAAAATAGTAATAAACTAGTATTTAAGGCTTGCACTGTGATCCACGCATCAGCAGTAAATTAATTGTTTTAAATTAAATGCAAGTGTCTACTTTAGGTTTTTAAAACCTTTCTGAAAGATGTCAAAAAGCAAAATAAAGTTGCACTGTCATCTATTTAACTATCTAACAACCAATGATTCTTCTAAATGTAAGCTTATTGCTGTAAAATGGGTAAAAACCCAATAGTTTAAATGATAAGTGGCAAAAATATAAAGGTTTACCATAATAATTAATTAGTATTCGAGGACTGCACTGTGATCTTTAAATACAGTGTTTTAATATTTCATCAGATTTTTAATGTTATTCATATTTTGTTGCTTTATGAGATTTTAGTTGGTGTCTCATGTAGATAATTAGTAATAATTAGTCATTATATCTTGCTTCGTTCACTCAACAGTCATGCACAACACTGAGAATAACAACGCAATAACCCAAACTTCCATCAAAAACAATGCATTCATCAATAATTAATACAACAACCTGTGGAAATTACGCTCGCGCATGCATGCAACTTTGCGCATTCATGTGCATCACTGTATTACCTGAGTGCCAGATGAGCCACAGCTGCGCGATGAACAGATGTGGTTTGGCCGTGATCGGACGCATCTTCTTCAGGCAGTAACGCGCGTATACAGTGAACGCCAATCTATTGATAACGCAATAGTAATGTTACAGTGGCTCCATGTCAGTATCTCTCGTACCCCGTTCGTCTTTCCCACGCTAGAGCTTCATTCAGTGTGTGATCACGGCGCGCGCGACCGGAGAGACGCTGCGTTCACGCGCCGCCCACAGTCTCGCGCGCAATCAATCATAGGCTCGCGGTCCATATAAAGGGACGTGCGCGGGCAAGAGACGGTGCTGGCGACATGCGACGTGATGTTAAAAGTAAAGGTCACCTTTTATAACATCCTGGGGAGCTTTAGATGTGAACAACTTGCAACAACACGTGTCTTTGCCTTTTTACGCATGCATGCACTGCAGTAAATACATGATCTGAAGGGGATTTTCTGCAGAAAGCTGCATGTTGATTACATTCATTCCTTCATTTTCCTTCGACTTAGTGTAGATTCACTAATGTACATTCACAAATACATATTGTATTGCATCTAGTAGTAAATATTTGTTTAAAATATTTAGATTTGTGAAGGGTGTACTTATATATGCTGAGCTCTGTATGTAAGTGAATGATATTATAAGTTGTGCTACTATGGGGTTTATAAGGAGATGCTAAGTGTAACTACAGATAGTAGGGCGTTTTGTGTTTGCTAGATGGTTATTAGGAAGCTTTGTGATTACCAAGGTGTTATTAGATGTTAATGGCCCATTTCTACTGAGTGGTACGGTACGGGTTGGTACGGGTCACTGTCATCAGGCTTGCGTTTCCACTGCCAAAAGGGTACCAATGGGGCTGTACGAAAAAAGTTTCAGTCAATGTAATTCTCGCTCGAAGAAATGTCAAAGTAAAGCTGTTCACATATCATATGAGAAGCACTTCTCAGAAAACAGATGCTTTATACACATAAATACCTGTGTATAAATGTTAATTACTAACCTTTCTATGAACAAGATTTGATTATAACTGCAGATAAATGATAGGGCGAAATAGCCTACTGTAATGTCTGCGATAATATAAAATAAATAAATAAATGCAACATATATAAACACATACAGACCCTTACAGTCTCTGGTATGTTATCAACTACAGAAAAACTACACACAGCATACATTTAGTCCTTATTTGGGTTTAAAAACAACACTCAATATAGCACACAGTCAGTGCAAACCTCTCATTTGCACATTCATTTTCACCAGCACATGTGACCTCTGTTAGAAAGTAATTCCGTCATATCGAGTTCATAATAGTCCAAAGGGTGATGATAATAGTTAAACACTGCAGTTTGTTCATGTTTTAGGTTGCTGAAAGAATCATTTGCTACTTTGTTAGTTCGGGCTTCTCTTTTGTTTTTGTGTGCGAGTCTCACGTTTGTTTGTTTCTGAAAGGATCGGATGTCAGATTCACTTCAATAATCACACACACATTATTATCATCAGATCAAGAAGTTCACTATTTCAGATATAAACGCAATTGCAAGCTCTCTCGAGAAAGCTTTTAGACTGCCTTAAAAACAACTATGGGGCACAGGGTAGATTCTGCTCTTCTTGGCTTTGTGGCTGTTCATCAAGACGACAGAGAAGGTTTGTTTGAGCTCAGGTCGACCATGCCTTGTTAATATATGTAAATTTCATTCAGGCGTAAAGTCTCGGCTGTGTATTTAAAAATGGCACTTAATTTGTTTTGGCTATAAAAGCTTTCCAACCCATACTGTACTGTACCACTCACTGGAAACAGGCCATAAGGTGCTTTGTGGTTGATGTGTGGTTTTTTGGGTGCTTTGGTGGTGGCTTGGTCATATATACATTATGAGGGTGCCATGGTGGTTGCTAGGGCATTGCTAGGTGGTTGCTTTGTGGTTAGTATTAGTTGGTAAAAGTGTTTTGAGGTTGCTATGGGGTTATTATGGTGTAATGGTGGTTGTTAGGGCATTGCATACGTAACGTTGGCCAACTAGTGAAATGCTGTGCAGGTAAAACTCACTACTCTGACCTGTAAAGTTGCTCTAATGACAGAAACTTGAGGTCATGGTCTTTAGCCTCCTTGTTAGAGCAACTGACTCCCATGTGAGGAGTCGCTGGTTCAATCCCAGCTCAGAGCGGGTTGGGTGGTGTAGGACCGGCAGGGTTGCATTGGTGCCGTGACCCAGATGGGAGTGAGGATTGGGGTAAGTGTAATGGAGGCCAGCTAGTAAAGTGCTATTCAGGTAAACCTCACTCCTCTGACCTCTTAAGGTGCTCTAGTGACAGACATTAGAGGTTATGGCATTTAGCCTCCTTGTTAGAGTAATCAACTCCCATGCAGAGAGTTGCCGGTTCAATCCTAGCTCGGAGCAGGTTGGGTGGTGTAGGACCAGCAGGGTTACACATAGTGGTTACTAGGTTGATGCTACATGGTTAATAATGGGCCTTTAGGGTTGCTATGGTATGTGGCTACTAGGCTGTGGTTCTAAAAGGTATAGTTTATGAAGAACGGAAACCATTTACTCATCCTCCACTTGTTTAAAAGCTTTTTGAGCTTCCACTTTCTGCTGTACACAACATACATTTTGAGGGAAAAACAAATACCAGAAAAGTCCATAGATACAGGTTTCCAGCTTTCTTCAAAATACCTTCTTTTATGTTCACAATGTAGCTGTGCTTTAGCTGTGAGCTCTAGAAACAGCCACAGAACAAATAAACTCATCAATTATTTTAGATACTGTACACATATCAACAGTGAATGTCAGAATCATTCCTAATTCTAATTTGACTAATTAATTTAATATTTAGTTGACAACTGCATGAGCTGCAGTCTTGTATCTACAATGCATCACAAAAAAGTCATTGATTCTTACACTTCTCGATCAGGCATGTGTTTACATCTTGTGCCAGGACTAAACCTCCGAGAATCAGACTGTTTCTGCTCTCCCTGTTGTTATCCTTTCTGCTGAATTTGCATAATTTATGCAGGGCACCTACTTCACTTGCTGGACGGCTTTTATAAGGGGGAGCTTGATACAGCTCCTTCAGCATTCAGAGAAGCCCATTGTACATGTCTACACCGCTCAGTTTAGCCTCAACAAAACCTGTTGATGATGTGCTGGAAATACTCTTCCCGTGGGCTCAAATGTGCTGGCACAGAGGGCACCTCTGCAATCATTTCAATTGTGAAAAGATTGTTTTCGATTGCGAACGAGCTGAGACGAATGTCAACAATGCTGCGTTGTTTTCGACTGGTAAACAGTAGACATGCCTTAGTGTTCAATGCTCTGCCATTTGGGGCTCTTAAGAAAAACAGTGACCCTGTGATGGAGATCCGGCTCTCATCTTTTGTTAATGGGGAGCGTTTGGTGACAAGAATACACTGAGAGGTGGACAAAAGCCACCAAAAAGAGAGACTCTGTGAAAGACGGAGAGAGTTAAGGGTCACAGCGAGGAAACACGGCACTGGGGATTGTGTCGGTCGTAAAAGCAAAAAGGAAGAGGGTGTGCTGAGATTTCAGCCAATCGTCACATCCAGATTAGTTCCACTGACTCCAAACACCCAGACAACTTTGAATCAATAGCATCTTTAGTTTCTGTCAGATGCATGTAGAATCCATGATCTGGTTTACTAAAAGATGCAGATCAGTTTACACTGGGGAGCATCATGAATGAAGGTGCCATTAAAGGAACACACCACTTTACGGCTCATTTTACAGCTCCCCCAGAGTTAAACAGTTGAGTTTTACCATTTATTCATTCATCCAACCATCAGGTCTGGAGCAATTTTAGCTTAACTTAGAATAGATTAGGGACCCCCAAACTCGGTCCAGGAGGGCCAGTGTCCTGCACAGTTTAGCTCCAATTTCCTTCAACACACCTGTCTGGAGGACCTTGATTAGCTAGTTCAGGTGTGTCTAATTGAAGTTGGAACTAAAATATGCAATACACTGGCTCTCCAGGACAGAGTTTGGACATCCTTGAAATAGATCATTGAATCGGATTAGACTTTTAGCATCTTATTCAAAAATGACCAAAGAGTTGTGATTATCTTGCTATTTAAAGCTTGACTCTTCTGCAGTTCAATAGGAACTATACTCTTATTCAGGCGTAATAAACAATGTAATGGGGAGAGTATGGTTGAACACCCAAGAAGGAGGGAGAGCAGGTTGAGAGACCAGAAATAATAAAATAACACCTGTTTTCTCTAGTGATTGGGCCAGAGAGACAGCTTATTAAGGGGACGGAAATGACCAGACGAGGAAGGAGAGCGACCACATACACACACTGAGCCGAGTGTTATCATTCTCGTTGACTTTGAGAGAAATAAACCTATTATTTACCTTATATCACCGACCCTGTCTTCTTCTCACTACCAGAACAAACTTTCCTACAATCAAAGTACTTGGTTTGTGTACCATGACTGCAGAAGCACCTAGTTACCTAACTGGGGACTATTTTCAGGTACTGCGTAAGATCATCGCTAGCTAAATCAGCAAATAATATAGCAACTTTTCTTTTTCTGTGTTTTAGAACACAATGTTACTAGAGTCACTAAAGTCTAGAAGTCAAAGACTAGAGTGAAAGACACTCATGACTAAGAGTCGTGCTTTAAATAGGAAACTTATTGAATCAGTTTGGTAATTTTTGAGCGAGATGCAAATGATCTGATCTGATTCTATGCTAAGCTAAGCTAAGCTAAAAGTGCTCCTGACAAACCCAAAGATTGGCTGAGTGGATTCAAAGATGTTAAAACTCAACTGTTTAATAAAGTCAACTATTTGTAAAATGAGCCTATTTCCAAAAGAGAGTGGATTGTTCCTTTAAGGGCATAACGACAATCCCACAGGTCCTCCATTTACACATGAGGATTGGATTACTCTAAATAAGCATCATTCTGCACTATGGAAGCAAGAGCAGCTCATTAACGTGTGTGGTTCCACTGGCTGGATCAAACCCATGATTTGTCTACAGTTGGACGTGGAGGCTGATACCAACAGTATCGACAACCAGCTGTGCCGCTCCAGCTTCAATATTCCTGGCACCCTGCCACGCTCTGCAAATCAATGCCGACCACTGCAGGGGGTGCTAATGCAAATCCACCAAGCATATTATCTGCTGGGTGTTCAATATCTCCATTATGCAACCAGAGAAATCATGTTTAATATATTCTACTAATGACACACATAGTGGA